GAACACCAGTAGCTGGACGGAAACGAGCAGCACGACCTTGGTGACCAGCACCAGTAGCACGACCTTGATTTCAGCAACGACTCTCACCACCAGCTGGACAGGAAGCAGCACCACAACTTCGAGCATCGCCTCGATCACGAGCACGACGGAGACTGTCAGCACGACCACGCCCTGTGCCGACACGCACGGTGGAGCGAGGACTAGGCATGGCGGAAAGTGTGCCTACTTTGAGGGCTATCCTTTCATGTGCCCGTATGCGTATTACTATTACGACGACGACGACTTCACCGCAGCGGACATGTGCTGCTCGTGCGGCGGCGGGGGCCCGGTGCCCACGGTGACCTCCGCAACGAACACCAGCAGCTGGACGCAGACGAGCAGCACAACGGGGACCAGCGCCACGGAGACGAGCAGCACAACGGAGTCCTCCACCACGCAATCGAGCACCACGGGATCGAGCACCACGGGATCGAGCACAACAGGGTCCTCCACCACGCAGTCGAGCACAACGGGATCGAGCACCACGTCGGGGACCAGCCTCACAGCGACGAGCAGCACCACGGGGTCCACGACGACGGGATCCAGCACCACGTCCCGCACCAGCTCTACGGCAACGAGCACTACCACGGCGACCACGACGACGGAGTCGAGCACCACAACCCCGACCAGCATAACAGGGTCCACCGTTACGGAATCGAGCACCACGTCTCAGAGTAGCATCACGGAAACGAGCAGTACAACGCGGTCCAGCACAACGGGCACGAGCAGTACCTCCACTTTGAGTTCGACGGGCAGCAGTACAGTTATCTGGACGGCTTGGCCTTTTGCAGCCTGCCACCCCACTCTGACTGGTTCGCTGCTGGACGGCAATCTGGTTGGAAACGAAAGTGAGTTTTCTCGTAGCCATGTTAGGGCTAAGTTTTTGATCGTCGTGTCAATTTGGAACACGCAGTGTGTTGGCGCGCTCTTGGGGCATTGCTCGGCGATGCATCGAGGGTCGAAGTAATGGGGGGCAGGCCTTCTTAGAAGGCGAAAGGGCTTCGGAGAAGACTTAGAAATAAGCTCAGATGGCCGGAGGCCTTTCGAGCTTTCTCCGAAGACCCACCCAGGCGCGCCGCCGAATTGCCAGGAGCCATCTTGGGGCTGGGTGCATCTGCGGACCTCTGGGATACTTGGGAGGCAATTGCAGGTGAACTGCGCTCCTGACTATTGGAAATTCGTGAACAACAGCAGTGCTACTGCTGAGTTCCCCAGTTGCTCGGAGAGCTGCTAAGCTCCAAACCTTTCACTAGGCAGCGTCGTGGCACCCGCAATGAGTGCCCGTGGACTACGATCAGCAACTCAGAGACCAGTACCGCCACATTGACTTCCACTACGCTGACCAGCAGCCTGACGGAGAGCAGCACTGCCACGACTGTGAGCAACACGGAGACCAGTAGCGTGACGTCGACTTCCGCAACGAGAACAAGCACCTTGACGTCGATTAGCACTGTGACGTCCGTCAGTATTACAGAGACAAGTAGCGTCACATTGACGTCTGCAACTATCCAGCTGCCTGCGGCAAGTCCCGCCACCGTGCCAGCCCAGCATTCTAGGTGGCGACTGTTCGAGGGGGTATGGGAGGCCGTCACATGTGACTCCTCGTGTTTCCAGGCTTGGGAGAGCCGCTGTGAGGATGATTTGGAAGCTATGGTTGATGAGGATGATGGGTATGAGGAGGAGGAGGAGGAGGAGGAGGAGGAGGAGGAGGAGGAGGAGGAGGAGGAGGAGGAGGATGGGGAGGAGGAGGAGGAGGATGAGGAGGAGAAGCGTGAGGAGGAGGAGGAGGAGCCACATGGGATAGACTGCCCGCTGGGCCACGACCATGGAGGAGCGCGCCATTCGGCCGTACAGCCGGGCCCAGGGGGACCCCGGATATGCCGAGGCCAAGCGCGTCCTGGGCATCGCAGCGCAGGCAGAGGGCTCCTGGACGCAACGGGTCCGCCAACTCTTGCACCGCTGAGGCCTGTCGGACCCGCCGGGGCCGCAAGCGGGGGTGGGGGCCCGTGCCCGGTACCGCCACCTCGACAGGCAGGCGGCGCAGCGCCAGGTACAGTCCTGGCTGGCGAGCCCGGCGCAGCAGGAAGCACTCGTGCGCGGGGCGGGCGCGGGCCACACGGTGCTCGGTCACAGCGCGGCTGGCGCCTCGCTCCCTGAGGTGCGCGCGTGGGCCCGCCTGTGCCTGCAGAGCTCGTTCGCATGCGACGCGGCGGGGGGCGCCGGGCCCTGCCGCCTCTGCGGCCATGCAGTCGCAGGAGACGGCAGCCCACCTGCTCTGCTTCTGCGGGCGGGCGGCGCAGGTCCTCGGACGGCCAGCCCAGCCGTGGCCGCGCCCCCCTGCAGCCCGCGGGCGGCCGCTCGCCCCGGCCGCCAGCCTGTCGCCGCGGGAGGCGCGCCGCCTCGAGGCTGCGCTGCAGGAGGCGCAGCAGTAATAATTAGGTCCAGCCGGAGCGGACAGGTGCAGAGTCCTCAGACTCCGTGGCTTCCGTGGGGCCGCCTCGCCCCCGCTGGCGGGCCGCCTGGCAGGGGCACCCAAAGCGCCGCTTAGGGTGCGCCTGAGCAGGGCGGGCCGCGGCCCCCGCCTGGGCCGCCTCGCGGCCCTTGGCCTGGGCCCCCGTCCCTGGGTCCCGTCCCGCCTTCGGGGCCGATTTCAAAAGCGACCTAACGCTGGTCTGGTCACTTTTGGATTCGGCTTGCCCTTGGCCCGCCTGGCCCCGCTCTGCCCTCCCTTGCCCGGCCTCGGCCTCGGCCCCCGGCCGCCCTGGCCCCGTCTTGCCCTTCCTGGCCCGGCCCCCGCCTCCGCCCCCGGGGCGCCCCGGCCCGGCCCCGCCCTCTCGCCCCGGGCCCGCCGCGCCGCCCTGCGCCTCTCCGCTCCGGGCCGAGCGCCCGCCGCGCAGCAACCCGCTCACCACAACGGGGCTGCCGGGGGCATCCCTCGCGCGGCACTCCGCCAGCTACGTGCTGGGGGGGCCGCCCGAGGGACCCCTTCCCGAGGAAATGGAGGGCGGGCGCCCCCCGCATAGCGTCGGGCGTCACCCTATACGCCCTCGGCTGCGGGGAGGGTCGCCGCGTGGCAGGCATTCGGAGGCCGCCCGCGGAATGAACGGGCCGTGCCGGGCGGCCGGGCCGGCCGCGCGGTCCCGATGCTGTGGGCCGCGTCAAGCCGAGCGGAAGGAAGGAATGAAGGAAGGAAGGAAGGAAGGAAGGAAGGAAGAGGAGGAGGAGGAGGAGGAGGAAGGCTGTCACATGTGGTAAATGTAGTTTCCACTATTTGAGGAGCTATGATGGAACTCGTTTGGGCTGTCTTGGGGTTGTCTTGGCCTTCTGTGAGACAGCCTTGGGGTAGGGCCCTCTTGGGGCCCTCTTACGCCGTCTTGGGGCTCTGTTGGCGCCATCCCGCCCATTCCGGCATACCCCTCACACGTTTCGTGGCCTCACAGGGAGCCCCACCGACGGCCCTTGTGACAGGGTTCGCATGGCGCCGCCCCGCCCATCTCGGCACATCCCTCACACGGTTCGTGGCTCCACCGCGGGACCCAGTGTCAAGGCTTGTGGGTTCGCATCGTACCGCCCCGTCCATCTCGGCACACCTCTCACACGCTTCTTGGTCCCATGAGGAGCTCCACCGAAGGCCTCAGTGGCAGGGCTCGTATGCCTGACCTCGTCCATTCGGGCACACTCCTGACACGCTTCGTGGCTTCAAAACGAACTCCACCGATGGCCGCAGTGGCAGGGTTCGCATGGCGTTGCCCCGCCGATTTCGGCTGACACGTTTCGTGGCGGCTACAGGAGCTCCACCGCAAAACGTAGTGGCAAGAGATCCCATGGCGCCGCCCTGTCCATGTCGGCACATCCCTCACTCGAGAGAGAGAGAGAGAGAGACAGAGAGAGAGAGAGAGAGAAAACAACCCACCCCCACACCCATTATCATTTTTTTACATTTTAGTTTCAGAACGCTTGTGGGCTAGTCGACACGCCCCCGCGTCGACGATTGCGAATCGTGAAGTTTCTGGTTTTACAACTCGTGTTATAAACACTTCCTCGGTTTTTTGTATAAAAGAAGCTTCTGCGTATTTTATGAAAGCGTTCTTGCGGGTTAAAAAACTGTGCCATTGCACGCGCGCGATGGCGCGATGTGAGCAATGTCCCCAGGCAGATTCACGCGCGGCATTAAAAAAAAAAAAAAAAAAAAAAAAAAAAAAAAAAAAAAAAAAAAAAAAAAAAAAAAAAGTGTGTGTGTGTGTATTCCATATATTCAACACGTTTTGGATGGTATACACATGTTTTCCCCCGGCCCCCGGCGGCTGCATTTTTTCGCAAGTTGCCAAGGACCTCCTTTGGGGCACATGCAGCTGGCGACGGCCGTCGGGCCACAGGCTCTGGAGAAGAACTGTGGACATATTATTATGTGTTGTGGTGGGTGTGGGGGTGGCTTAGGCCGCCTTCGCTCAGACAGTTCGCGGCTCCATGGGGAGCTCCAGCGAAAAGCCTCAATGGCATGGCTCGTGTGCCTGACCCCGCCCATTTTGCTACACCCCCTCACACGCTTCGTGGCCTCATAAGGAACTCCGCCGGAGGCCACAGTGGCAGGCATGGCGCTGCCCCGCCAAGTTGGGCAGACCCATGACACCTTTCGTGGCTCCTCTAGGAGCTCTGCCGAATTGACCAGTGGCAGGGTTCGTATTGCGCCGCGAACCCGTGTCCGCTTCCCTTTTTCCCTATTCAAGCCGCAGTCATTTTGCTGACCCCCTCCTCCGTTTCACCTGCCTAAACATCCTCGCAGCTGCACGTGGTCGGGGCCTTCGCCAGGATTGTTACAAAGGGGTCGTGGCCTCGGGAGTAAGGGCGATGTACGCACCAGTTCCTTAGTACAGGGGGGGGGCCTGATTATGATCCATAACTCCACCAAGCTGAACTTGACATTCCACCACGGCGCATCGTGCCAGGGGGCACGGTGGCGGATAACCAGCAGTCTTACTTGGAGTCACACGACTTCTTCGGACAGCAGCTCAGGGACCAGTAGTGCGACAACTTTGTCCGCAACGGAGACCAGCAGCTGGACAGAAAGTAGCAGCACGGAAACCAGTACCTCGACATTGAGTTCGACTGGAAGTAGCACCATTACTACGGTCAGCAGTTCGGAGACCAGCACCGCCACATTGACTTCCACCACGATGACCAGCAGCCTGACAGAGAGCAGCACCACCACGACTGTCAGCAACACTGGAACCAGTAGCGTGACGTCGACTTCCTCAACAAGAACTAGCACCTTCACGTCGAGTAGCACTATGACGTCGGTCAGCAGCACGCGGACCAGTAGTGTGACATTGACGTCCGCAACTATCGAATGGCCTTCGGTCCATCCCGCCACCGTGTCTGGGCTGTGGTTCAGAGCCAGCCTGGATCTACATGAGGATCTCTCAGGCTGCCTCTCAGGGGACTATTCGAGTGCGGGGGCCTCTTGGGACGTCTTAGGGACCTCTGGGGGGCCGCCTGGGGCGTCAGGCGGGAGCCTCGCGAGCCTCTGGGGGTCTCTTGGGCTTATTCGGTGGCGGAATGCTCGACATGCCTGTTCGTGTTCAGCCTTTTGGGCCCCTCTTGGGGCCCTCTTGGGTGCGTCTTGGGCCGTCCTGGGGGCCCCAAGGGCCGTCTTGGAGCCCGCTCAGGGCGTCTTGTGGGTTTTCTGGGGGCCTCTTAGGCAGTCCCAGGGCGCTATTGAGGGCTTTTTGGGCCGTCTTGGAGCGCTGGATGCTGAACAAGGCGAGAATTAGGCTAGCATCTTTCAACACCTAAGCACAATCAATGATGTTGTTATCTCAGGCCCTCTTCGGGGTCCTCCCGGGGCGCTCCTGGGGCCTCTTGAGGGCCTTTTGGGCCGTCTTGAGGCCACGGTGGGCGATTTGGGGCGATCTTGGTGCGACCAGGGGCCTCCAGAAACCGTTTTGGGTGCCTCTGGGCCAGTATTGGGGCCCTCCTGGGCGGGGTTGCCGCCCAAGTTGCCCACGCGAAAACTGAAGGAGCGCCTGGGTAACAGGGGGTCTGGCCCTTGCGAGCCTTACAACCCCAGCAGCTCTTAGGTATGTATGGGCCTTGGGGCACTCCACTTCGTGATGAAGACACGGTGGCGGATCGAAGACGCCTACGGCGAATTGCCGCCGCCACTCGGACGACGAAGATGAGGAGATAGAGGAAAGAAGAGGAGAAGGAGGAGGAGGAGGAGGAGGAGGAGGCCTCTTAGGAGCTCCTCGGAGCTTCCTGGGGGCCTCTTAAATGCCTCTTGGGGGCTTCTTTGGGCCTCTTGGAGGTCGTTGGGGCTCCTTGGGGGCCTCTTTGGCAGTCTGAGGGCGTTCCTGGCCCGTCTGACGCCGTCGGAAGCCGTCTTGGGGGCCTCTCTTGGCCATCTTGATGCCCTCTTGAGGCGCATCATGGCCGTTTGGGAGACCATCTTGGGTGTCTTGGAGGTCTCCTGGGCCGTCTTGAGGCCCTTCCGGAGCCGTCTTGGGGGCCTCTTGGGCCGTCACGGGGCCATCTCGAAGGCCTCTTGGGCGCTCTTAGGGGGCATCTTACTGGGCTCTGAGGCCGACTTGGGAACTCAGGAAGCCGAACATGAGCAAACACCAGACTCCTTCAAACACCTAGGGGGCAATCAATCTGTTTTGCCTCCTCGTGCATTCCTTGAGATCCTCTTGGAGACCTCTTGGGCCGTCTCGGGCGATCTTGAGCCCATCTTGGGCCATCTTGGGGGCATCCCGGCCCGTGTTGGAGGCATGTTCGGGCCATCTTGGGTTCTCTCAGTGCCACGGAAGCTGTCTTGGAAACCATCTTGGCCGTCTTGGAGACCATCTTAGGGCCGTCATGCGTGGCAAGACCGACGGGGTACACAAATGCGACGGCTTTTCATCCCGACTCCTTCCTCCTTTCTGCCATGTTCTGTTCTCTCCTGCTTCCTACCTTTGTACCTGGCTTGCACCTGCTTGCCAGCCTGCCTCTGACCTCGCCATCCCTGGGAGCGCTGCGATCTGCGAAACCGTCGACACTTTCGAGGGCTGCTGGGGGCGTCCAGCGGAGTGACGCCCCGCCGCGGATCAGAGTAGACCTCGCCACCTTTGGGGACTGCGATCTTCGAAACCGTCGCCACTTTCGAGGGCTGATGGAGGTGTCCAGCGGAGCGACGTCCCGCTGCGGACCCGAGTAGACCTGGCCACCCCTGGGGCGAGTGACGCCCCGCCGTGGATCAGAGTAGACCTCGCCATCCCTGGCGGGCTGCGAGCTGCGAACATGCCGCAACCTTCGGGGGCTGCTGGGGGGCCAGCGGGGTGACGCCCCGCCGCGGATCAGAGTAGGCCTTGCCCTCCCTGCGGGGCTGCAAGCTCCCAGCGCAGATCCAGATTGGACTTCGCCATCCCCGGGTGGCTGCGAGCTGCCAAACCGTCGCATCTTTTGGGGGCTGCTGGGGAGGCAGCGGAGGGACGCCCCACCACGGACCAGAGTAGACCTCGCCATCCCTGGGGGTGCTGCGAACTGCGAAACCGTCGCCACTTTCGAGTGGTGCTGGGGGCGTCCAGCGGAGTGACGCCCTGCCGTAGACTCAGATTAGATCTCGCCTTCCCTGGGGGGCTGCGAACTGCGAGCCCGTTGCCACCTTTGAGGATTGCTGGGGTGTCCAGCGGAGTGACGCCCCGTCGCGGATCAGAGTAGACCTCGCCACCCCTGAGGGGCTGTGAGCTGCGAAAATGTCGCCACTTTCCAGGACTGCTAGGGGCGTCCAGCGGAGTGACGGCCCGCCGTAGACTCACATTAGACCTCGCCACTCTTGGGGACGGCGATCTGCGAAACCGTCACCAGTTTCGTTCGTTGCCTGGGCCGGACTGTCCTCCAGCTGCACACGATGTAACTATAGAATCGGTTGGCGTGCCGCCGCTCATGCAAAGCGGAGAGTAAAGGCTGGCACCGTCTCTTTTTGCCCACGCGACGCGCTCCAGCGCATGGCTTGACTGGCTGACTTTCCAGGCTGATTTGGGGTCTTGCGGAGTGACGCCCAGCCGCGGATCCATATTGGACCTCGCCGCCCTTGGGGGGGCTTCGAACTGCGAAACTGTCGCCACTTTCGAGGGCTGCTGGGGGGCCAGCGGAGTGATGCCATACGCAGATTCAGACTAATTCTCGCCATTCCTGGGGGGGGCTGCGAACTGCGAAACTGTCGCCACTTTCGAGGGTAGGTGGGGGTGCTGGGGGGTCCAGCGGAGTGACGTCATTCGCTGATCCACATGAGAATTCCCCACTCCGGGGGGGGGGGGGGGCGCGAACTGCAAAACTCAAGCCTCTTTCGAGGGCTGATGGGCGGTCCAGTGTAGTGACGTCCTACGCGGATTCAGAGTAGCACTGCAAGGTGCAGGAAGGAAGCGGGGAACTTGTTGGGCGAGTTCGGCCTCGGTCGCTTCTGCATCTTGCAGTAGCTATGACCAGCTGATCCTTCCGAGCGCAAGAGTGAGACGGTGCGGGCCGCACTGCTTGTCCAACTCACCACTGGAAGATGGTCGCCACCTTCTTTCCTCATCCTGCCTCCTTCGTTGTCGTCCTCTTCCTCCGTCCACCGGCTCATTGCTGCGGTCACGTTAACAGTTCGTTCCCTCTTCCGTCCTTTACCTGCGCCACGTTGCCACCAGCATGTCCTCGTCGAATTTAGGGCCTCGGTTCTCGTTTTTCTGTTGCTGTCCTGCGAGTCGTGCAACGCGCAACGCGCGCGATTCCCATATAGATTGCACCACCAATGACAGATCCTTTTTTGTCATCAGCCATTATTAGTCTGGACAAACTCCTCGTGCCACTTAAAGCAGATGGTTTGAGTACGTCGCAGGGTGATGTTGGCCTCCTCGGTCCTTCCTGGAGGCCCTCTTGGAGGCTTCCTGGGCCGTCTTGGAGGCTTCTTTGGCCGTTTTGGGCGATGTTGATGCCATCTTGGAGGCATTTCGTCCCGTCTTGGGTCATGGAGACGCCTTGGGACCATCTTTGAGGCCATCTTGGGCCATCTTGGCCGTCTTGGAGGCATCTTGGACGCCAGCTTGGGCCATCTTAGCCGTCTTAGGGCTTTTCTGGGGGGGCGCATTGAGGTCTTTACTCGGTTTTCTGGGTGGCCGGCGGTATGGGCCAAAAGCCCACTGGGATTTTCTCAAGGACCAAACACTACCTATCAGCTGGCACGCCGTGCACCCATCTGGCAAGCCAACAGGGCACGGCGGATACAGTGGCCTTCGACCCATCCTGCCACCGTGCTCGGGCTGGGGTGTGGACGACGCCTGCTCGATGCTTCTATGAGCCTGTTCGGGAGCTTCTGCGCGACCTCATCAGGGCCTCTCGAAGTCGTCTTGGGGGCTGCCTGGGAGCCTCCTGGGGGCGTCCATTGGGCCTCTCGCGAGCTGTTCAGGGGGCCTGCTGGCTCTCTCGGAGGCCATCTTGGCCTGGAGGCCATGTGGCCTGGAGGGTTCGAGATGGCACTGCGAGGTCTCTCTCTTGGGCCCCTCTCTCGGGCCCCTCTCGGGGGCCTTTCCTTGGGGCCTCTTGGACCTTTCCTGGGGGCCTCGGGGGCTGGTCTGGGTGGGTCTTGGGGGCATCTTGGGCCTTCTGGGGGACCCTGGAGGCCGAAACGGCAAGCAGGTGAATGGGTGATTTTGGCCACGTGGGCTGGCCCTCGAGGCTTCCAAGACTGCCCAGGAGGCGAGCCCTGGGACGGCGCTTCATGGCCATGTCCGGACCATGCCCTCGAGGCCTTCAGGAAAAGCCACGCGACGAGTCTTGGGTGCGGGATCCGGGGCCTTCAAAGAGCTCCAATACTCAACGCAGAGAGCTCGAAGGGATCTGAGGACACTCCACGTCGTGCCTCGCGGCGCGGTGGTGGATATCCAGCAGCCTGACGGGGAGTAGCACTACGGCATCCGACAGCACCTCGAGGACTAGCAGCGCGACCTCGCTGTCCGCAACGGGGACCAGCAGCTGGACGGGCAGCAGCGGCACGGCGACCAGTACCTCAACGTTGAGTTCGACGGGAAGTAGCACCATTTCTACGGGCAGCAGTTCGGAGACCAGCACCGCCACGTTGACTTCCACTACGCTGACCAGCAGCCTGACAGCGAGCAGCACTACCACGACTGTCAGCAGCACTGGGACCAGTAGCGCGACGTCGACTTCCGCAACGAGAACTAGCACATTGACGTCGATTAGCACTGTGACGTCGGTCAGCACCACAGCGACCAGTAGCGTGACATTGACGTCCGCAACTACAACCAGTCTGACCGAGAGTAGTACTACGGCTTCGGACAGCAGCTCACTGACCAACAGCGCGTCTATGACGTCCTCAACAAGAACTAGCAGCTGGACGGACAGCAGCAGCACGGCGACCAGTACCTCGACAGTGAGTTCGACGGGAAGTAGCACCATTTCTACGGTCAGCAGTTCGGAGACCAGCACTGCCACATTGACTTCCACTACGATGACCAGCAGCCTGACAGAGAGCAGCACTACCACAACTGTCAGCAACACGGGGACCAGTAGCGCGACGCCGACTTCCGCAACGAGGACTAGCACATCGACATCAAGTAGCACCGTGACTTTGGTCAGCACCACAGCGACCAGTAGCGTGACATTGACGTCCGCAACTACAACCAGTCTGACGGGGAGTAGCACTACGGCTTCGGACAGCAGCTCACTGACCAACAGCGCGTCTATGACTTCCTCAACAAGAACTAGCAGCTGGACGGACAGCAGCAGCACGGACACCAGTACCTCAACGTTGAGTTCGACTGGAATCAGCACCCTTACTACGGGCAGCAGTTCGGGGACTAGCACCGCCACATTGACTTCCACTACGATGACCAGCAGCCTGACAGCGAGCAGCACTACCACGACTGTCAGCAGCACTGGGACCAGTAGCGCGACGTCGACTTCCGCAACGAGAACTAGCACATTGACGTCGGTTAGCATTGTGACGTCGGTCAGCATCACAGCGACCAGTAGCGTGACATTGACGTCCGCAACTACAACCAGTCTGACCGAGAGTAGTACTACGGCTTCGGACAGCAGCTCACTGACCAACAGCGCGTCTATGACGTCCTCAACAAGAACTAGCAGCTGGACGGACAGCAGCAGCACGGCGACCAGTACCTCGACAGTGAGTTCGACGGGAAGTAGCACCCTTACTACGGCCAGCAGTTCGGGGACTAGCACCGCCACATTGACTTCCACGACGATGACCAGCAGCCTGACAGCGAGCAGCACAACGCCTGCTGTCAGCAACACGGGGACCAGTAGCGCGACGCCGACTTCCGCAACGAAAACTAGCACATTGACGTCGGTTAGCACTGTGACGTCGGTCAGCATCACAGCGACCAGTAGCGTGACATTGACGTCCGCAACTGCAACCAGTCTGACCGAGAGTAGTACTACGGCTTCGGACAGCAGCTCACTGACCAACAGCGCGTCTATGACGTCCTCAACAAGAACTAGCAGCTGGACGGACAGCAGCAGCACGGCGACCAGTACCTCGACAGTGAGTTCGACGGGAAGTAGCACCCTTACTACGGCCAGCAGTTCGGGGACTAGCACCGCCACATTGACTTCCACGACGATGACCAGCAGCCTGACAGCGAGCAGCACTACCACGACTGTCAGCAGCACTGGGACCAGTAGCGCGACGTCGACTTCCGCAACGAGAACTAGCACATTGACGTCGGTTAGCATTGTGACGTCGGTCAGCATCACAGCGACCAGTAGCGTGACATTGACGTCCGCAACTACAACCAGTCTGACCGAGAGTAGTACTACGGCTTCGGACAGCAGCTCACTGACCAACAGCGCGTCTATGACGCCCTCAACAAGAACTAGCAGCTGGACGGACAGCAGCAGCACGGCGACCAGTACCTCGACAGTGAGTTCGACGGGAAGTAGCACCCTTACTACGGCCAGCAGTTCGGGGACTAGCACCGCCACATTGACTTCCACGACGATGACCAGCAGCCTGACAGCGAGCAGCACAACGCCTGCTGTCAGCAACACGGGGACCAGTAGCGCGACGTCGACTTCCGCAACGAAAACTAGCACATTGACGTCGGTTAGCACTGTGACGTCGGTCAGCATCACAGCGACCAGTAGCGTGACATTGACGTCCGCAACTGCAACCAGTCTGACGGGGAGTAACACTACGGCTTCGGACAGCAGCTCACTGACCAACAGCGCGTCTATGACGTCCTCAACAAGAACTAGCAGCTGGACGGAACGTAGCAGCACGGAAACCAGTATCTCGATATTGAGTTCGACGGGAAGTAGCACCATTTCTACGGTCAGCAGTTCGGGGACCAGCACCGCCACATTGATTTCCACGACGATGACCAGCAGCCTGACAGAGAGCAGCACTACCACGACTGTCAGCAGCACGGGGACCAGTAGCGCGACGTCGGCTTCCGCAACGAGGACTAGCACATTGACATCACGTAGCACTGTGACCCTGGTCAGCATCACAGCGACCAGTAGCGTGACATTGACGTCCGCAACGATAACCAGTAGTCTGAGCGGAAGTAGCACTACGGCTTCGGACAGCAGCTCGGGGACGAGCAGTGCGATTTTAGTGTCCTCAACAAGAACTAGCAGCTGGACGGACAGCAGCAGCTCGGAAACCAGCACCTCGACATTGAGTTCGACGGGGGGTAGCACCATTTCTACGGTCAGCAGTTCGAAGACCAGCACCACCACATTGAGTTCTACCACCATTTCCAGCAGTCTGACGGAGGGCAGCATTATTCAGCTGCCTGTGGCAATCCCCCACACCATATCAGCACAGCATCGACGTGGATTCAGGCTGATACCGAGCTCTCCGAGCCGGCCCAGTAGACCAGGTCTAGTAAGCGGCTGTACGCTGCTGTAGCGTGGCGCAGTCGTAATGTTGCATGGTCTGTTCGCTGGCTCTGGTGTGTGTTGACCGTTTCGCGGGGCTTCTTCGAGGCGTCTCTGGGGCTCGTGGCTGCTTCTTGGGTGCCTGTCGGAGGTCTCGGGGCTTTCTGAGGTGCGATTGCTCTGCGGATCTCTTCCGAAGCTGGGCCGTCTCGGCTCTCTCTTGGGCGATCTTGTATTGAGAAGCGTCAGATGTGTTCCGACAACTTCTCCCTTGCTCTAGGACCTAACCTGCCCTTTACTGGAATGTATATTTAACAACTCACTTGAGCATCAACCGATGGTGTTCTATCGCATGCCTTTCCCAATCTCTGGATTTCCTGTTATACGCCTTCTCCGAATTAGTGGTTTCCTGGCCAATGCAGTCTCCGAAGGAAGCATTTCACCAGATTCGATACGTCTTCGCCACACTCAAAATCAGCAGTCCCTGAACCCCGAGCCGCATCACTGATGACACTGTTGGATTCCGAGACAAAGCGCTATCAACAATTACGAAATCCGAAGCAGCGCCCCTCGCGAGCCTTACAGCACTAGACATACCACAGTACGACTTCCGACAAGCGTTTGGAGTATTCATGTGCGCGTCCCGAGTCATGTGTATAGATGGGGGCGAGCGGGCTTCGTCTGGGTGCTCCGCGGGGATGGACAGACCTTCTTGGGGACCCCGCGGGTGCGCCAAGTCCTGAAGGGGGGGGGCAACCGAGAAACCCGAATTTGATGATTTGACGCTTGCCAGTCTTGGTCCCAAGGGCGAAAGAAATCGCGCTTCGTGGTTCGGCTCCGATTCCTCATCCTCCTCTTCTCCCCTGGGGGGCGGCGCGAGAACGCGAAGTTATTCGCGCTTCGCGTTTCGCGCAGCACGAACCTCGAAGTTAGGCTCTCTTGTGGACCGCATCCACGGGGTTCTCGGGCCTTCTTGGGGGTCTCTTGGGGCCGCATCCTGCCGTCTTGGGTTGTACCAGCCGGAGCCTTTCGGACGCCCGGTGCATCAGCTTTCTGCACGGGCCTCCACTGAGCCGTTCCCTGTGGGTGACTCGCGGGAGGCCTACCTGGGCGTCCCGTGCGGTCCGGTCGGGGCCTCTCGGAGACGTCTTGGAGCTCTGGGGCGAAGTGCCGGGCCGTCCCCCGGGGCTGGTGCCGGGGGGCAGGCCGCGGCCGTCCTCGGGGCGGGCGTCTGGCCCCCCTAGGAGCCGCCCTTTTGGGGGGGCCGAGGAGGCCGCCGGGCGGAGCAGGCGGAGCAAGACTCTGGAGGGGGGGAGGGCTGCGGGGCGTGGAAGGGACCACCGCCACCGCTTTTCTTTGGTTGCCGCCTTCCAGCCGGCAGAAGCAGAGCAGTGGTTGGGGTCGTCTTCGTCGAGCTTGGCACCAGGGGCATGGCCGCAGCCACTGCTGCTTTTTCGGGCGGCTGGAAGGCGGCGCAAACAAGAAGCAGTGGCTGTTGTCATTTTCCCGTCCCGCAGAGGGCGGTGCCTGGGAGCGCGTGTGCCGAGGGGGTGGCTTCGGTGGCAAGTCCTGGGGATCTCGTATAATTACCTTGGTAGCTCCGCTCTTAGCTTGCGTTGGCCTCCACAGCGTCTGGTGCTCGATTGTATGACGCCGAGGTGGCGTCAGCTGACGTCGACGTAGCGCGGAGGTAGCGTCGATCCGTATCGAGCAGCGTCCACTAGCGCCGATTCGTACACCACGAAGGCGGAATGGGATGGCCCCACGAGTTGCCGCAGAAGGTGGGTGGGTGGGCTCAGGGTACGGCCAACATCTGTATCCACATCCAGCGCGTCTTGGACTTTCTCAGAAGGGGCGCCGCAAGGCGGCTAAACAAGATCGAGCCTCTGGGGGCCAGAATGTTATCCATGGCCAGAGCGCCTCGGGTTCCTGGGGGAGGGAGCCCGGGACTCCAAGCTGCCTCCTCCTCCTCGACCTCCAATCGCCCAGTGATCACCGATGGGGACGGGGGCCCGATGAGCCATTGGGAGCGCCTGCCTCGAGGTGTGGCGGTGGTGGTCGCCCCCGTGAACCTACGCCCTGGACGGGCTCACGGCGATGTGGGTGACGGCGATGTCTGTTTCGGTACCGTGGGGGCATTGGTTAAGGAGTGCACCCAGGAGGCTTCAGACCCTGGGGGATTCCCTGCGTGATTGGGGCGGCGGAGATTTCCATGGCCGATCCACGATTGAAGCTTCCTGGTGCTAGACCCCGGATTCCTTATCCAACGGCTCCTCATCCAACGCCCTCACTGTATTGTGGGAACGCGTGGCTCGCGACTCTGCCTACGATTCTCTGTGCCGTGCTCGCTCGAGCCATTCGCAGACTGGACGTGTAGGGAAGTGTGGCTCGTGATTCCCTGCGCTCTGGTGCCCGACAGCACCGTGAAGCAACATCGCCGTGAGCCCGGCACTGGCCACGGAGCCCCTGGCGTCCTGACGCGCCCCAGCGTGCCGAGGGCGCGACGTGCGGACGGCTGAAGTGAGCAGCACGGGGACCGGCAGCGCGACGTCGAGCTCCACGGCCACGACGAGCACCCTGACGTCAGGTAGCACCGTCACGCTGGCCAGCATCACGGAGACCAGCAGCGTAACACTGACGTCCGCGACTGGAGCCAGCAGCCTGACGGGGAGTGCCGTTACGGTCTCGGGCACCAGCACGGAGACCAGCAGCGCGATGTTGGCGTCAGCAACGGCGGTGAGCAGCTTGAGGCTCACGCCGTATCCGCCGACCACTTGATATGTGTGAGGCCACGGTTGACTCCTGCAGGCGCTGATGGAAGAACAACCAGGAAGGATCGGAGGACGAAGGGGAGGAGGAAGAGGAGGAGTCGCGATCCCATAGGACGACGCGCCGAGTTCGCTTCGGGACGGGCGAGAGCAACTGGAAAAGAAGAGAGAGCGCAATCGAGCAGAGAACGAATGCGGGCCCCAGGGCACTGTTTGCCCAACCGAAGCATCGCGGCAGCGCCAGGAGGTCCCACGAAGAAAAGCCCAGAAGACGGCCAGGCCGAAATCCCAGGACACGGGAAACGAGTTTCAACCAAAACTCGACGAATATGGAATTCGATGGAAAGCAGGCCCAGCCATTGAACAGCATCGTCCGTGACTAGGAGCCTGCGGGGGAGGGGAAGGGGAGGGAGACGACCTCCCTTCGGGTGGACGCCTTCATAAAGTTGTCCCTCCTCCACTTCCTCTGGGGATTCCCCTCTGGGGCCGCCTCGGGATCACACGTCCAGCAGAGCCGTGTCCGTGCAGTCCTGGCCGAGGAAGCCCTGCATTGACTACAGCCCACAATGCCCCCAGAAATGCACAAGACATGCCCACCCGCGGCCATGGGCGGGACCTCCCCAGACCTCGGCAGTGGCTTCAGAGGAAGGTCCGCATCCGCCAGCGATGGCGGGGTGCCCCGAGAGGCGCGCTGCACACCGCACGAGGTCGCGTCCACGGCCGCACCCGAGAGGGCTCCCTGAAATCCCGCGAGGGTCCCCGAGGCGATGGTGGCGACGACGACGGCAAGGCCAACGACGGCGCCGACGATGAGCACGCCCACCGATAACCACGACGATGTCCTCGCGACGGCGATGAAGGTTTTCGACGGAGTCCGACATGCGCGCGCGGCCGGCGCGCGCGGGTGGTCCGCGTGGTATGACGTGACGCGGATCGTGCCCCCCCCCCGCACACGCGCGCAAGGACATTTCGAATGAGTTCGGCATGCGGCGCGAGATGCCCGCCTGGCAGAATGCGATGGAGATGTGGGAAACCAGTGTGTTTTTTGTTACAAGAGTCAGCAAAACCGCGATTGCAGGGGTTTTGTGAAAAGTGGTGTTGCAAAGCCATGTGCTTTGATATATGATTTTGGGGACATTCGTTTCCGAAGCCCTACGAAACCTGAGGTGTTGAAGGGTTGCGGCATGCGCATACGACGACGCATAAGTGTGCATGTCGTGTCACATGCTTGAGAGATGTTCAGCTGTTGATGTTTGATACACGGGTGAACGCACATAGTATTTGTTGCAGAGGATGACGGGGAGGATCGAGAACGGCCTGCCTGGTGCGGTATGCGTTCATATTTAGGATGGACATTGTGGCAGACACATGCAAGTGGCAATACGACAAGGTGGCCCGTTAACCCTTGGGGAAGGGGTAGATCCTATTATTCTAGAGCGGAGAATTCAAGAATGCCCGCAGCGAGTTGTCAATTTCATTGCTCGCGTAATCATCCCGCCCGCCCACCCGCAACCCGGTTTGCAAAACCCATGCGACGGCGATTGCGATGAGTGCATGGTGTTGACTGGTGCATCCATCGCCGCGGCCGCGCTAGCCCGCGCATGCTCGCGCGCGCAGCGGCCCACTAGTGCGGGCCAGCGCGGCCGCGGCGGCGCTGACCGCTGGGCACTCCGACAGCTCGAGTCGTTGACTTGGGCGGGCGCGGCCTCTTGGCGACGCCGGCAACGGTAGATGCGATTATGAGATTAGCGACGATGGTGGCAATAGTGGCGATGACGACGGCAAGGTCAATGACGGCGCCGATGATGAGCACGCCCACCGATAACCATGACGATGTCCTCGCGACGGCGATGAAGGTTTTCGAAGGAGTCCGAAATGCGCGCGCGGGTGGCCCGCGTGGTATTATGTGACACGGATCGTGCCCCCCCCCAACGCGCGCGCAAGGGTATTCGAATGAGTTCGACATGCGGCGCGAGATGCTCGCTTGGCAGCCTTCGATGAACATGTTGGAAACCCGGTGTGCTTGTTTACAAGAGTCCGCAAAACCGCGATTGCAGGGGTTTTGTGAAAAGTGGTGTTGCAATGCCATGTGCTTTGACAGATGATTTGGGGACATTCGTCTCCGAAACCCTACGAAACCTGAGGTGCTGAAGGGTTGCGGCATGCGCATACGACGACGCATAAGTGCGCATTTCGTGTCAGTGCTTGAGAGATGTTCAACTGCTGATGTTTGATACACACGGGTGAACGCACATAGTATTTGTTGCAGAGGATGACGGGGAGGATCGAGAAAAGGCTTGCCTGGTGTGGTATGCGTTCATATTTAGGATGGCCATTGTGGCAGACACATGCAAGTGGCAATGCGACAAGGTGGCCCATTAACCCTTGGGGAAGGGGTAGACCCCATCATTCTAGAGCGGAGAATGCACTAATGCCCGCAGTGAGTTGTCAATTTCACTGCTCGCGTAATCATCCCGCCCGCCCACCCGCCCTTTGGTTTGCAAACGACGGCGATTGCGATGAGTGCTTGGGGTTGGCTGGCGCGTCCCTGCGACCGTGCTAGCCCGCGCATGCTCGCGCGCGCTGCGGCCAGCGGCCACGGAGTGCGGCGCGACCGACGCGGCCGCGGTGGCGCTGACAGCTGGGCACTTCCCAGCGGGCACTTCAGTGCGAGTCGATGCCTTGGGTGGGCGCGGTATCGTGAATGATACAGAATGCGAGGAGAAGGGGAGGCGGAGAAACACAACGCAACAGCCCCGATGCTTATGTATCGGCATCGTCAAACAAAGGACAAGAAACCCGAGGAAGGGGCAGAGCGGGGGGCGAGGAGGAGGACAAAAGGGAAGAGGCGGAAGAAGAGGAGGAGGAGGAAACGGAGGAGGAAGGGGGAGGCTGGGGGGAGGAGGGGGAGCAGTAGGAGGAGGAGAAGGAGGAGGAGGCTGAGGATGAAATGGGGGAGGGTGAGGAGGAAGAGGAGGAGGAAAAGGAGCAGGAGGAGGCATAATCAGTATTATAATAACAATTAGAGTACCAGTGGTAATATAGTATGATTATTGCTAATACCCATACTAATAGTAATGAGCAGAAGAAGAAAACAGGATAATAAGAAGACTACTAATACGGAGAAGCAGAATAATAAGCAGAGGAGGAGGAGGAGGAGGAGGAGGAGGAGGAGGAGCAGGAGGAGGAGGAGGAAGAGGAGGAGGAGGAGGAGGGGGAGGAGGAGGAGGAGGAGGAGGAGGAGGAGGAGGAGGAGGAGGAGGAGAGGGAGGAGGAAAGGAACGCGGTGCGGCAGCCCTGGCAGTGGTATCGCGGCCAGGCGGGCCAGTGGCCAGTCGTCGCGAGCCCCCCTGCGCGGGCGTCGCGGAGGGGGAGGGGGTGGACACTTGTGCCTGGCTCGTCGTCGTCGTCTTCGTCGTCGTCGTCGTCGTCCTCGTCGTCATCGTCGTCATCGTCGTCGTCGTCGTCAGCATCGTCGTCGTCGGCGTCGGCGTCGGCGTCGTCGCTCGTCTGCGTCGCGCTGGCCAGCAGCGTAGGCGGGGTGAGCGGTGCGCCAGAGGAGGGATAGGCTACACTTGCGTCGGTTTCGCCTTTTCGGGCGCTCCTTGGGGGCCCTCGTCGCTGCCGCTGGATTCGCTTCGAAATTCTGGTTAGAACGCACCCTGGGAGAGGTCCAGGGAGTGTCGGTATCGATACTTCGTTTAGTTTCCCACTGAGCGTTGCGGGGAGGGCTTCCGCAGTGTTGTCATCGTCGCCGGCGTTGTCAAGCATGCTTCGGGATGGAAAATTGCGCGGCTATGGAGGAAGGGGGGGCGCGAATGTTTACAAACGTCGCGCCATCTAGCTCTTCGAGCATGAGCGATGTTGCAATAACCCTCCCGTCCCACCCACCCTCCCCATAAGTCCCTAAAAGCCTTCTTCCTCTCGACCAGCATCGCATGGGTCTGGCATTCAGGCGAGAACCCCGTTTTGAAAAATAGCTGTCTTGCATCTTTCCAGCGAGTAAGAAGGAACGCGGAGTGTCCAGCGAGATCCCCGCCAAACGAAAGACCGCCCCTATCTGTACAATCGCTGCACAAGTTTGTAATGTTTCAAAGCGTGAATTCCCTACCCCGCTTTCGCTTCCAGGCAAAACCAAGTCATACCACGCGCCTCCTCGTCAAGCGGCCTGACCATTACAGGCCGTAGTTTGGCATCGTTTGGTATCTCTTGGAAGCGAGGGTGGTAAAAAAGCGAGGTAGGTTTGTTTCCCCCTAATGTTGGTCGTACGCTTCGAGGAAGTCTTAAGCGAACGCCCCCTGGAACAAACAACCGCCCTCTACGCGTGCAGCTGTCCCATACGTTTAAGTGACCGATGCTTAAAGGAAGGCCCGAGCTAAAACAAATCTTGAAAAGGAGCTATATGCCGTCTGTTTAATTGCTGCACGCTTTGGAGGTGAATGTCCGCGGCGCTAAGGCTAGAGCTTCATTCAAACAAAAGCAGCCTTCCAGCCGTCTAGCAGTTCAGACAAACGCGTGCGTCGCTGAGGCGAGCGCTCTAAATTGAAAACGACCTGCGCTCTGGTCTTATCACTGCTGCACGCTTTTAAGGCGAGCGTGCGCGGTGTTCGGGCGAGAGCCCCATTCCGAAAACAGCACCCCGTCCATCCTTGAAGCCGTGGCCAACCTTCAAAACTGATGTGCGCGGCGCTCAGGCGAGAGCCCCACTCTGAAGATGAGCCCCTCCACAATCCTTGGAACCATTGTCAGATGGAAGCTGCAGGGTCAAAGAGTGATGAGTAAGCCTCTGGCGAGACGCCCCGCCCACCCGGCCGACACGCCTGGGGGAGCGACAGGGATGAGTTATATACACCCTAGGCGATGCTTAAGACAACTTAAATGTTCGGCCAGAGTCTCGATTGTTCTTAATGTTTCCATGTGAATCCTAAGATTTGAATGGAAAATTTAGGTTTTTATTCAAGTTCTGAGACTATGAATTTCTTAACCCATGATTTCTTAAGCATTTCGCAGGGTGGATGAGGGAAAATGGTGGAGGATGAGGTTCCTCGGAGGAGCGAGCATCTCCCACGCCGGTGCCTAAGGGGTCGGCGAATTTCCGCATCGGCGACCAGCAGCTCGACTGAGAGTGCCACTGCGACCACAAGCAGCATCACCAGAACCGCCACGACAGCTACCAGCACCACTACTGCCTGGGATCAGAGCCTTATAAGTGGCTCTCTTGGTCTCGACGTCGACGATCCGGCTACTTTTGTCCAGGACCCCACTTTGCTCCCTGTTCTTGGTTCCCCCTCCCCTTCCCCCCTTTTGTCCGAGTCCAGGGGTATTGCAGGTTACCCACTCGCCGTTGCTCTCACTGGCCTCGAAAAGATCATGCGGGGAACGCTGCGCCAATCAACGCGAAAGAAACATTCGTCCAGGACCCCGCTGCGAAAGACGCTGTCGGCAGCACCATTGCCGGCGTGGCCGGCGTACCCTCCAGCGACGTGGAAGTTGATCTTGAGGGCTCGTGCCATTGCCGGCGGCCCCCTGGCTCGGAGCGTCTCCCGCCCGCAAGGTGGTTGCCCTCCAGAAGTTGGTCTGGCGCTCTGGGGCTTGCACTGGCACCGCTCGGCCGTGCCGCCTCTGGGGCTCCCGTCGTTGAAGGGTAAAGCACACAGCATGCGGTGAGATGGTTCATAACGTTCTTTCCGCTAGGGTGTCTGATGGAGAAGATCGGAGCTCGAGAGACGGGGGTCAATCCAAACGGGGGTCAGTCAGAGCGCTGGATCTTGCAGGATCCCGCAGAGCCATGTGTGCATTGACCTGGGCTTGGGTGCAGGACCTTGCAGGATTCTGCAGGATCCTTGCAGGATCTTGCAGAGCCCGACTGGCCCGGGTCTGGACCGACCCGGGCGAGCAGACCCCCCAGAAGATTCACACCGCAGAAGCTCAGATATGAATCCCCCGGATGTCCGCGCGGATCTCTGCCGCGCACTCCCCCTGTGGTGGCCGGGGCCGTGGGGGCCCTCCCCTCCCCCCCTGATTCGGTGCAGGTGGCCTGTCCTGGGCACGGCGCGTCGGCGCCCGCTCGCTCGGTCAGCGCCCGCCGGATCGGCGCCGGACGCCCCCTGGCGGCGTCTCTGGTGGCGCCCCCCAGCGCGCGGGGCCCGGCGCCGAGCCAGGAGCTCCGCGCGGGCCCCGGAAGTTGTTGATTGGTGCAGTGCGCTGGTGCTGCGCAAGCCATGCCGCACGACGCACTTCGAGGAGGGGATCGACTGCAGAACTGATTTGCCCCCGTTGCTTTCCGTCGGGTCCTACGAGAACACGTGGAATGTTCGTACAAGCACAAACATGGCATCATTTTTTTCCGCAGTATCCACAAGAGTTCTCATTTGGGGGTAATCAATTCCGGAGTCGATCTTCTACTTGAGCATTGGTTCTGCAGGGGAGTACCTACATGCCGCAGAGGAGGAGCACACATGTCGAGATTGAGCCTGAATATTTTTTCCAGCGTCCTGCAGCAATTCCCGCCACCGTGCCAACGCGACATTCTGGGTGGCGACTGTTCGAGAGGGCACGGGAGGCCGTCACGTGTCTCCAGGGCTTGGAGAGCCGTGATGAGGATGATGATGATGATGATGATGATGATGATGCTGATTATAACGGTGATGGTAGTTAACTTTTGGGATGATGGTTCTGATGAGGATGCTGACGATGATGACGAGGATGATCAAGCTGATAATGAAGACGCTGATGACGATGGTGACGATGAGGTTGATGATCATGATGATGGTGATGCTGTTGCTGATGAAGATGGTGTTGCGGATGAGCATGCAGATGATGATGGTGATATAGACCTATATATATATATATATATATATATATATATATATATATTCAGATGGTTATAGTGATATTGGCGCTGGTGATGGTGATTTTCATAGTGCTGGTGATGGTAATGATGTCGATGAGAGGGGGTAGTGACGAAAACGATGACCAGGAAAAACATTAACACGACGATGCTGTTGATTGCAATGGTGAAGGTGGATATGATGATTCGGATGATGATGAATAGGAAGAATATGATGATAATGATGCTGATGATGCTGATGATGGCGATGGCTGGTGATGGTGATGGTAATGGTTAACATCATGGTGGTGAGGGTGAGGTCGATGCTATGCTGCTGATGAGGATGCTACTGATGATGATGTTGGTGATAGTGATGATGTGCATGTTGTTGAATATGAAAATTGGGGTTCGAACGATGGCGCCTCCGTTGATTGTGGTGCTGACGCTTGTGATGATGATGATGATGTGGATGATGATGTTGTTGATGATGATGCTGATGATGATACTGGTTATGATGACGAACATGATTGTTAATACCATTGTGATGATGATGATCGTACTGCTGATGATGCTTATGGCGGCGATGACGGGGATGAGTATGGTGATGATGGTGCTGCTGATGGTGGTGATGATGATGGTGAAGCTGATGACGGTGGTGGTGAATGTGAAGCTGATGATGATTGTGATGGTGGTGGAGGAGGAGGAGGAGGGGGATGATGAAGAGGAGGGCCGTCACATGTGTCGTCTTTCTCTTGACTTTTTGAGGAGGTATTCTGGAACTTGTTTAGGCTGTCTTGGGGCTGTCTTGGTTTCCTGTGAGGCAATCTTGGGTGTCCTGTTGGGTCCTTGTTGGCCGTCTTGGGGCCCTCTTACATCGTCTTGGGGCTGGCTCTCTTGGGCCATGTTGGTGCCCTCTTGGCCTTATGGTGAGTGTCTGGGGGCCGTTGTGGGGCCGCCTTGGGCCGTCGAACGACCTTCCAAAGCCGTCTTGAGTCTCACGGGAGGCTTTCTTGGGCCGTCTTGTGGTCGTCTTGGATGCTTTTGGGCCATCGTAAGACCTCGTGGGCCATCGTGGGACCCTCTTGGGGGTCTCTTGGGCCGTCTTTGTGTCATCGCGCAGGCTTGTTGGTCCGTCATGAGCTGACGGAAGCACGGAAAGGCGAGAACGCAAATGTCGTCCAATTTTATCCGGGAAATCAATGATTTTGACTTCTTCGGACCCTGTTGGAGGTACTGTTATAGCCTTGTTGGGCCCTCTGGGAGGCAGATTGGATTTTCTTGAGGCCACATCGGGCCGTCCGTCTTCGAGGCATCCTGGGCCACCTTTGTGTCTTTGGTTGCCTGCATGGCTCGTCTTGGCAACTCGGGACGCGGATCCAAAGTTTTTGTTGACTTTGGATCGTGGCCTCGGGAGCGTGAACCCATCGTTTCTCAAGAGGGGTGGTGGCCTCGTGAGGGGGGGGCGATGCATGCAGGTAGACGCGTCCTTGGTGGGTGGTGGCCTGATTCGAACACCAAATCCGTGCCAGACAGCCCTTGGCATTCTTCCAAGCCTCAACGTGCAAAGGGCACGGTGGCGGATAGGGTCAATGGGCAAGCAGTGTGGTTCAACAGTCTCTATCTAGGCCGGACAGCGCGCAAAACTGCAAAGCGAGGGCCCCTGAATAAATGCGAGTCGTTGAAAGTAGGTATCCCTGGAGCCCCAGGTCCCAATCTACTTCAAGCGCCTTCCTGCCTTCAGAATCGATATGCCTTCAATGTGTTTTCTGAAATACTCTGGGAGGGCCTTAACCCTGAACCCCATCTACTTCACCTGCCCTCCTACTCCATCCTTTTACCCACCTCTTCGGACCGACGTATATATATATATATATTTCAGCCTCGCGCAGAATGGGGGTAGGGGAAGGGGGGAAGGCTTATTAGAAGCACCCCTGCTTCTTAGAAGGCGTGGGCCTTAACAACTGTGGATGTAAGGCCCGCGCCTTCTAAGAAGCAGCCTCCTTTTAAGAAGCCTTCCCCCTCCCCCTACCCCTCTCTGCGCGCCACCAAATATCGAACCCAGGAAACATGGGAGTGCCTGAGCAGCCACGGCTCCAGTGAGCGGGGGGTGCCTGCCCTCTCCGATCCCTCCCGCTACCCCGCTACCCCCAAACGCCGCGGCCGATCCGCGACCTGGGTTCCTCCCCCCACTTCCTCCTCTTCAATCCTCATCCTCCCCTTACATCCTCCTCCTCCTCCGCCACCTCCTCCTCCTCCTTCTCTTCCTCCTCCGCTTCCTCCTCCGCCTCCATCTTTCCTCCTCCTCCACCTCCGCTCCCTCTCTCCTCCTCCTCCGCCTCGGCTCCCTCTCTACTCCTCCTTCCCCTCCTCCTCCTCCTTCTCCTCCTCCTCCTCCTCCTCGTCGTCCTCCTCCTCCTCGTCGTCCTCCTCCTCCGCTTTTGTCTGGTGCCGCCGCGCCGCGTGCCCGTGCCGTGCGCTGCCCTTCGGAGGCCTTGTTTGTGCGGGCGCGGCGCCTCGGCGACGACGCGTGCGGAGCTGTGGCCCCCTCCCATACCTCTGCTTGTGAACGAGGAGCCCGGCCGCGCCAGCCGCTCATCCTGAAGCTCTTGCCGCGGCGAGTGCCCTCCTCCCCCGCCTGCCTTCTGCGGTCGCCCTCTTCCTCCTTCCCTCTCTTGATGCCCGTTGATCGGTACGCCGCGCGACCCCGCTGCTAGGGCGCGCGCGCGGATCGCCTCTGCCGGACTGCGGGTTTAATTCATGTGAGCAGCCAGCTCCTGTTCCTCCTCCTGTTCCCCCCCCCGATGCCAGCGACGTTGCTTCACATGGCCTTGACCAGCGTTGGACACGCAGCGGTGGGATGGACAGGACAGCGGTTCTAGCAGCACCTCCAGACGGCACCGCGCGGGAGCTCCGAGGCGGCTCCTGTCGCCCCGCGCAGGCCGCCACAGCAGACCCGACCCTTGCCGGGACGCTTCGCGCGTCGCTCGTTCGCTCGCGCCTTTTCAGTATCGGGCGAAGAGAACTATGCACATGCACCGATCCTGGCAAGGCCCATTTTTGACCCAGGATCGGTGCATATGCCTTCCTGGCCAAGGTAGGAGGGCGTATGCACCGATCCTGGGCTCAGGATGGGCCTGGCCAGAATCGGTGTATGTGCATAGTTCTTTTTCCCCTATCAGTATTCCGCCTGCTGGACCCTCCCTGGACAGTTACTATCGGGGCTCAAGAGGCGGGGGTCACTGCAAACGGGGGTCAGCCAGGGCGCCGGATCTTGCAGGATCCTGCAGCGCCGGGGGCGCACTGCCCCCGGGTCTGGGCGCAGGATCCTGCCGGATCCTGCAGGATCTTGCAGGATCCTGCAATGCTTGACTG